AGCGCGGAGGCCGGCCGGCAGGGGGACGCGCGCGGGGGCCGCGCTAGCAGTGGCCGGAGGAGGCAAGCAGAGGCTCCGGCAGCTGCTTGAACAAGTTCCGCAGGGTGCTGAGCTCGCGCGACAGCTGCTCCACCTTCTTCTGCAGCCGCTCGTTCTCTGCCGTGAGCTCCAAGACCTTGTGCTGCGTTTCTAGGTTGCGCATCTTGGCCTTGTCGCGGCTCTTACGCACCGCGATGTTGTTGCGCTCGCGCCGGATCTTGTACTCGTCGCTGTGCTTGTCCACGGTCTTCTTGGCCTTGCTCTTGACCTGCGAGGGCGCCGGCGTGGCTCCAGAGTAGCAGGCGGGCGGGGGCGCCTTGGCGTCGGCGGGGCTCGGCGTGCCAGGCGGGCTGGACGACGAGGACGTGGAGAGGCTCCCGCTGCTGCCGCTCGGCACCGCCTGGTAGCCGAGGTAGGCGCGCAGCGCGTACGGGAAGCCCGCCGCCATGCCTGCGGCGCCGCCGCCCGGCGCCCCGGCCTCCTCCTTCCGCTTACAGTCCGCGGGCTCGAAGCCCGGCTCCGCCTTGAGCTCCGCGGGAGGCGGCGGCGGCGGCGGGGGCGGCGGGTGCAGGGGCGCGAAGCAACCCGGGTGCAGCGCGCCCTTGGTAGCCCCCAGGCGCCCCAGGCTCACGTAGCTGTACTCGGCTGCCTTCTTGCAGTTCTTGCCCCCGTAGTCGTCGGAGAAGAGGTCGGAAAGGAAGTCGTGGTGCTGCCCGGAGGAGGCGGGCACGGGGGCGGGCGCGGGCGGAGCCGCCTCGAAGGTGTCCGTGGCCGGCGCCGGGGCCTGCGGCGCGCCCAGCGGCTCCAGGTACGGGCTGAAGTCGATGGCGCGCTCGTGATCGCCGATGCTCCCCAGCTCTACGGCGGGGGGGCGCGGCCCGGGCCTGGCCGCCGGGGGCGCGGGGGCCGCCTTGCCGCCGTACGCAGCAGCCAAGCAGTCCGCCTCGTAGTAGAAGTTGGCCACTTCCATGGATTTAAAGGCAGGCGGCGGAGGCAGGGGGAGACATGCTGGGTCCCAGGCCACCAGGCGTTGCATGAACGCGGGTGCCCGGGGAGGGGGCCTGGGGCTGCCCACTCCGGCCGGCCCGCAGGTGGCGCGGCCTCCTGACTCCAAGCTCTCGCCGCTGTCGCTGTCGCTACTGCTGCTGCTACTGCTGTTGCTGCCGCCGCTGCTGAAGTGGCCGCTATTAGTGAGGGAACTGACGACTGGACCCTCGGTTGGGTCCCTTTCCCGGTCCCGTGCGCGGCTCTGACTCGCTAAAGTTTCTCCAGAGCTCGGTTATTTATAAGGCGGCCCATGGCAACGGCTGCGTCACGCTTGGAGGCCGCCCCAGCCCCTCCCGCCGCCGCCCGGACGCGGAGGCCACGGCCGTCCAAGACCCCCAAGAGGGCGGTGTCGGGGGAGGGGGCAGCCGGGCCCGGACCAGCAGCACTCCCTCGGGGGTCCCCCGGCCGCGAGGAGCAGCCTCACGCCCCCTGCCCACCCCCACCCGGCAGCCCCGGGATTGGGAGCGAAAAGGGGAGGTGCGACCCCGCCCCCGGACCGCCCCACTGGGCTGGCGGCTGTTCTGCAAGGGGGGGAATCCGAGGAGGGGGCGACTCGATAGTCTTCCCACCCCAAACACGGCCTCGGCCCGCCCCCTGCTGGAGAAGGCCGTGGATTCAGGATCGGCAGAGTACAGCCCAGAAGTACCACAGAGGGGGTGCTCCCCAGGCCGGATCTTGGAGCCCCCCAAGCTCCAGCTCTCCACTGGCCACACCCCCAAAGCCATTTCCCGGGCACAGCCCCGCCCCTAAATTTGCCCTCTATCCCCAGCTCTTCGAAGGAACAGACTCCACGCAGTAATGAGCCTCTTAAAAACACTACAGTGTCACGGAAGACCCTCGTGTAGGGGGCGTGCGGGGACTTAGGTCAGGACCTGAGTCCCACCAAGCATCTCCCCAGCTCTGCCCACAGCACCAGTCCGCCCCCTTAGACCACACCTGGGTCTTCACTGCCCCACCCACCCCACCCACACCTGGGCCCCAGGGAGATGGTGGGGGTGCTGGGCTCTACCTCACTGTGTGACCTTGGACAAGTCACTTCACGTCCAGCTTCGGTCCCTGAAGCTTGTTGTCGTTGGTGACATTGCATTATAGTCACCACCAGACTCCAAAACTTAAAGTTCAAGAAAGAGACTCCCAACGGAAGATACAAGGGGAGGCTCTGAGGAGACATGGCACTGGGTGACTCGACCTCATGTCCCCCTTTCGTCCCCAAAGACAAGCCCTTGTCCCAGTGCCCTAAGACCTGTTTGCCAATGCTAGACGCCAAAAAAAACCGTGTTTCTGCGCACTGGGAGTGAGGGACTATTCCAGGCCAGGTCAGAGAAGGCCATTAAGAAGGGAGAAACCAGCCCTCCCCATTTTATACAACCCCCTACTATGTTCTCAGTGAGCCTGGGGCTCGCTTTTTCACCTGGCAGATGTTTTTCTGCCCCACCTCACTCCCATATTTCAGGAGGGGAAACGAGAAACACGTTGGATTTGAACCCAGGTCCAAGGCCTGCTAACCACCTTCCGTCTCCTTCAGAGAGTGCTCAGGCAGCCCCTTGCCCTCTCTAGCCCTATTCCTAGACCATTTGGACAGTACCTTGGGTCCATCCTTCAGCAGCTCTTGGCCTGCCAGGAGCTTCGGGCTTGCCTGGGGCTGACCCCCGGCCCACTGACCCCAGCCCTGGCCCCAGCGGGCGGGCATTGCTCAACCTTAGCGTTATCTGCTGAGCTGGGGTGACCTCCGCCCCCGAGAGCTGGAGAAATGACATCTCCCAGCGCCCTTGGGGGTGGGTGGGGGACGGGACAGGATAAAACACTGGCTTGGCCTGGCCTGCCTGCTTTTGGGGCCTTCCCAGCAGCCTCTGGGCCAGGGAGGGAGCCTAGGGCCAGAGGGGTGCGGAGACTACCCCAGGGCCACCCAGCCAGGCCACCCAGCTGCAAAGTGGGACACTAGGGCTCACCTCAAGGGCCACCGCCTGGAAGAGTCCCTCCCTGTCCCGCCCCCCAGGAACTTCCTCCCCAACCCATATCACCATATACTTGTCTGTTCCCCAGATTGTTCACTGTGGCAGCCTGGAGCTCCCAGCACTGCATGCGCTTTGGATATTTACCTGTGAATGCATACATGTGTTGTTCCCCCTAGAGCCAAGAACTCTGTCCCCACAGCTCTTGCTCCTCAGGTCTCTCCCCAAGAAGCACTTCCAGTGCCTCACCCACTCCTTTCTCCCAGCTTTAATTTTCCACCATTCTCATTACAATCCAAATGATCTCACAGTCTTTGCTTTCTGTGCCCACGGCCCCCTTCCCATGCCAGCTCCTCCAGGGCAAGGATTTTTGTCTCTTTTCTTGGCTGCTGAATCCCCAGTGCCTGGGGAACACCAGAAGATGCTCTGTGAACAGTGAGTGAATGAATGCATGAGACTCCCCATTTCTTGAGCTGTGTGACCTCAGGCAGGAAGGCTGCCCTCCCTGAATCGTAATCCACAGCCCAGCTTCTCAGGGTTCTGGGGCAATGCAGTGAGACCCAGTGAGATGGAGCTAATTGGAAGATTTGCTGTGTGTTCTCAGGCCAATCTCCTACCTTCTCTGATCCCATTGTAACCACATTTAACCTTCCCAATAATCTGTAGGACACAGATCCTATTATTATCTCCACTTCACAGATGAGGAAACTGAAATCCAATGGAGCTGAGTGTACCTACTCAAGGTCACACAGTAAAGGGGGGTTGGGGAAAGAATGAGCACGGCTTTCCCTTTTCAATTTGTAAGAAATCCCAAGAGGCTGAGTGCTGTGAACCCCATTTTCTGCATGAGAAAACTGAAGCTCAGAAAAGGGTGATCCAGGATCAGACCGTGAGTCTGGGGCAACCTAAAACACTGGGGACAAGTTTCCCAGGACGAAACTCAGCCCATTCAGGGTCTTGGCCCTCTGGCCTCCATAATGAAATTTCACCAGTCCAACACAGCCCTGTCTTCCCCTCCAGACCACTGGCCCCACCCAAGGCACAGGGACCCAGGCCGAATTCCCACCCAGCCAGTGGCTCAGTAGCTGCTCCCATCCCTGTGCCAAGCCAGGTGTCCTGCAGGGAGCCTGCGTGCACAGGTGACGTAAGGCCTTGTTTTTACAAGGTTCATTGCTCAACAGGTCCTGCCTGCTGCTCCACCATTAAGGCTAACCCTTTCCCTGAGGAAGCGGGATGCCAAGGACTCTAAACCACCATGGCCCAGAGGCCTGGAAGACACCAAGGTGACTGTGTGGGACCAGCCACTGCGACCCTAAGGCAGCCAGGACATTCGACCAGTACCCACCTGGAGTCACCCATAATTACTTCTCTCCATTTCCATCCCACGTGGTGTGGGTAGGAACCTGGGGCTGGCCAGAGCCAACCCATAGCCCCGTTCAGTGTAACCCCATAGCCCATAGCAGGCTTTTGGTTTGATTTGGTTTTAAGGTGGATTCATTGCCAACACTTAACAATCAGGAGACATTACATCAGAACTCAAATGACCAGATTCTCTTTTTTCAAACCTGAGACTATGAGCTGGGCCCACATGCCCACACGGGGATGGACTCGAGTCAGGCAGTGACCACAGCCCAGGATGGAGACAGACAGCTTCTCCTCTGCCCCAGATAGCTTCTCAGAATTGTGTCTCCCCATTCTCAGCAGCTTTTCCTTAACCCTGTTTTGGGGAGGGAAAAAAACCCAGGCAACTTGCCCAAGAGGAGCAATAAAAGTAGACCAGGAAAGCAGAAGGTCAGCGAAAAAGAGGAAGCCCCCCACCAGAGGGATACACACCATGGCCACAGCAGTGAGCTCAAATATAGTAATGATTGTGAGGGTGGTACCAGACCCGTCAATATTTGGTTCTGTTGTGTATAGGGTTGATCTGAATCTGAACCGACTTAATGGGACCCAACAACAACAATTACCATAAAAGTATTAGCAAAGGGATTTTGAAATCCGCAGGCAGGTGGGAAAATAAGGCTGCCAGGCAAACCATCCGGGCTGTTAAATGGGAGTTGTCTCTAGTAGGGTGGGATGAGAGAGTGATGGGGGTTGGGTTGTTTTCCTGTTCTATGGTCCTTGCTGAAGAATTTGGGTCTAACTGAGGTCCCCTCTGGGCCTGAGTTCCTGATCTATAAAAGTAAAGATAAGGATAGCCCCTCTCGGGGGCTCTGGGCCTACACATGAGGCAATTCAGTCCTCTCATTAACCCCATAAAGGGCTTGACTGCTACAGGTCATGAAAACCTCACAAAACAGGCAAATGCTGGAGAAACTGAGGCCCAGAGAGTACTTCCTCAAGATCACAGTGAGTTGGTGAAAGAGCCAAGTCTCCTGGTTCCAATGCCCAGGATCTTACCCCACCATGTCTCCTCTCTAAAGTCTCAGTTTTCCCATCTGCCAAATAGGACCAACAGTACATTCTTGAAGGCTGCCAGGCCCAATGTCTAGGGATCGGTGATTTGGGAATCCTCAGAGCCCCTCAAAGAGCTCTGGTGGCACCCCTGTTAAATACTCAGCCAGTCAAAACGGTGGTGTTTCATACCTACACGTGACCTGGCAATCTGCTCCCACAGAGATTGTTGTTAAGTGCCGTCAAGTCGATTCCGACCCATAGCAACCCTGTATAGGGTTTCCAAAGAGCAGCTGATGAGCTTGAACCACCAACCGCCGACCTTGTGGTTCAAACTGACCTTGCAGTCCAGTACTTATCCTACAGTGCCAGGAATCTGGCAGTTCTATTATTTCCAATATGAGCAGGGGTCTCTTTGAATGTACAAACTACCAGAGCCTCTAAGGCTGGACAGTCAGTGACCCTTGTCTGTGCATATGCTGCCACCTTGTGGCAGCCTCTGGAACTCCAGGAGTGAATTAAATGAATCCTCTCTTGGAGACCTGGTGGTGTAGAGGTTCTATGTTGGGCTGCTAAACTCAAGGTCAACGGTTCAAACCCATCAGCCGGTCCTATGGAGAACGATGAGGCTGTCTACTCCCATAAACTCTTGGAACTCCTGGAGGCAGTTCTATTCTGTCTTATAGAGTCGCTATGAGTCAGAATTGGCTCCAGGGCAGTAACGGGTGAGTGACAAAAACGGTCTGCACTTGACTATTGACTTAAAGATTGGCAGTTCAAACCCCCCAAGTGGTACCACGGAAGCCAGGCCTAGTGATCTGCTTCTTAATATTACAGCCAAGAATATACCACCAACAGTT